TGTGATCGCTCAGGACACAGGCTACATCTCCTAGCGTCTCTTGCAGCTGAGTGCTACTATCAGCTTCTATCCTACTTCCTGAAATGTGAGTGTGGTGGTGGTGTGCCAATTGGACTAGGTAGAAGGAGGTCAACACTCTAGAGATTGCCAAGCAGCAAGATAGATGGAGCCCGAATCTCTGATACCTTAAAGGGATACAGCTGCCAAGTAGCCCTAGACCACCATCCTGCAGAGTGTAATGTGAGAACACATATCATTCTGTCATCAAATGTAACTGTTGAGGTATTTCTATTAAAAAAAAAAAAAATCAACACAAACCACCACCACCCCAACCATAAACTACCACTAGGATGGAGTCCTTTTGACTTATTTATTAGTTCACAGAGAGTGAACTTATCTCCTTGATGTGGTGCCTGATAAGTCAGGAGAGGAAATGGATTCGGAGAAGTAGCCCATGAAGAGTTGAACATGAGCAAGAGAGAAGCCAGGGATGGTGAGGGGGCTTTATTCAAGAGTCGCCAGCATAACTGAGAGAGAAGCCAGGGATGGTGAGGGGGCTTTATTCAAGGGTCGCCAGCATAACTGAGAGAGAAGCCAGGGATGGTGAGGGGGCTTTATTCAAGAGTCACCAGCATAACTGAGAGAGAAGCCAGGGACGGTGAGGGGGCTTTATTCAAGAGTCACCAGCATAACTGAATGTTTATGGGACCTAAGTCCCATAATAGCTCTGGGACCAGTGACTATGCCCAGGAGGGTAATGGGAAAGAGTACAGAGTCTGGATCTAACTTTGGGGGACCCTTCAGTTAGTGGAGGGAGAACAAAAGGGGGCTGGAGAAAATGCAGTCAGAGTCATAGGGGGAAAACCAGGATAACTTAAAGTCTTAGACACAAGAGAGGAGAAGATGGGTCATTAATGGTCAAATTCTTCAAAGGGACAGGCGAACAGTTAGGAATGGAGGAGGAATGCATTTGGCCATGAGATTACTGGAAAACTCAGGAAGTACCATTTTGGGTAAATGGTGGGGCATGGACAGAGGTCCGATGGCTAAGGTGGGAGTAGGTGGTGAGGAGGTGGCTGGCCATGGGCTCACTGAGGAGCCGGAGAGAGGGAGGAGGAGGAGAGGGGGAGCCACAGGGGCATCCGAACAATAGAAGGTCCCCCTCCCCAGGTTGGGAAGACCTGAACCATGGAGCCACTGCCCAGCACCTTACTTGGTGCTTATTTTAGTTTTCTGATTGTTTGGGTCCAACTTTGAATGATATAGGAAGCGAAAGGCTTTATTCATGCTAAGAAAAGGAGAGAAGGTAATGATAGGAGGACCTATGGAGTTCTAGACTGTTTGCGGGGTGCTAGGAAGGAATCAGCCATGTACCAGCAAGTCAGAGAAAGCAAATCTTGGTAACTGGAAAGCATGAGAAAACTGGAGCCAAATAGGCTTGGTTTGGGCTGGAATTTGTTTGTTTGGGTTTATTGTCTGCGTGGCCCTAATCTCTTTGGGTCTTGTCTTCATCTGCAGAATGGAGGGCTTCCTATTTTACAGAGTTATTATGGTGGTCAAAGGAGAGGGTTTGTGTGGATTCTAGCATGATCTAGACATTCAATAACATTGTCTTCCCTGTTTTGCTTTTGCTTTCAGAAAGGCATTGTGATGTAATTATTTTTAGACAGTAAAACATTAAACAACTTAATATTAATAGTTAAAATATATCATTAAATGTATAATTTTGTGAAATCCCCCCCAATTTGAATATCATCTTTTTTTTTTTTTTTTTTTTTAATAGGCCATCTGTCTTCTAACCCATGGCACAGTGAGGACCTTGAGCTTCACTGGGCCAGGAAGGTCCCATTCAGTAGATGATAAACTTTTAGATGTTCACTACCACGTACATTTTGTGAAGTTGTGTCATAGCTGTAATTGTATTTGATTCTGATGATGGCAGGAGGGGCAGATGTTGGGATTTCGATGTAGCAACTAAAAAAGGAAAAACACTTAGGGAAGTGATGGTTCCTAAGAAGCCAGCAAGGGTCCCCTAGCAGTTCATGCTCAGCAAACCTCATTCCCTTTTTTAAAACAGAATTGCTAGATCGGGAAATGCTATAGATAACATGTGTTTTGATGTTAGTAGGACATCTGACAAGGCCTCTTATCAAGTCTTTGTGGATGGGGACATGTACGCTGAGTGGGAGAAGCTGGTGACACCCCAAGTTAGACAATCAGCAGTGGCCCCAAAACGTTGAAGAAAGAGAAGCAGATCGGGGCCAACCTGGACAGAGCACATCACTCCAGACACTCCGTGTCTTAGTCAGTGTTTTATTGATGACTCTGATAAAGTCAAAGAAGTCACAGTCAGCAGACACGCAGTTGTCAAAGCTGGGAGGGATACTTCATAGTTTACATAGTAAAATTCATGTTGGAAAAGATCTTGGACAATGGATGACAATTTAAGAGGACATGTGGATGACCTTGTTCTCCGTTAAGGGGGACTCACAGTCCAAACACGGAATGAAGGAGAGGGTGTTAGCAACCTGTGTACCACGGGTTGTTTTTGTTGATGCCAAGTCAGTTTGAACAAAAGGCTGATGTGGCCACGGAGGAGGAGACCGAGCATTTGGCGGCAGAGTCACATGACATAGGAGGAGCCCTTGAAAGAACCTGGGGTGCTCCTCCTGGGGAAGAGGACACCAGCACTGCTAGGAGGGGGAGCTGTTTTCACGAAAAGGAAGCTGGTAGCCACATAGAAGGGGGAGTGGTAGCCCAGGACTGCAGAGGGGAGAATCACATAGGGAAGCCGATTTGGGTTCAACTCAAGGCAGAACTTTCTAACAATGTGAGCTGTTCAATGGTGACCTGGGCTGTTTAGTGAGGTTAGGATTCCCTTTTGTCCATGGAAGTGCATAATTCGCTAGTTATTAAAGATATTTCGGAGGGGATTGTATAGGTTAAGGATTTGGACACAGTGACAATCATGAGGATAACCAACTTTTATTTTATTCTCACAACAACCCTGAGAGGTAAATATTATCTCCTTTTTGAAGATGAGGAAACCAAGAGGCAGAGAGGTTAAGTGATTCACCCAAGGTCATCCAGCAGGGAGGTGGTGAAACCAAGACAAAGACCAAGTCTTTCCCCTCTTCCAACCTTGGAGTTTTATTTATTTTTTTTTAAGATTTTATTTATTTATCAGAGAGAGAGAGACAGAGGCAGGCAGAGGGAGAAGCAGGCTGCTTGCTGAACAAGGAGCCCGATGCGGGACTCGATCCCAGGACCCTGGGATCATGACCTGAGTTGAAGGCAGATGCTTGACCTGAGCCACCCAGGCGTCCCAACCTTGGAGTTTTAAAATGGAAACAATCTCTGGTCCAAGATGGGTCCCTGGACAGTTTTGCTTTCAAGATCCTCAATTTGCTCAATTTGTAGAAAACAGGCATATTGATTTTCTCTCCCTCCTTTTCCTTCAAGAAGGTTGATACTATAAGTGAGATCCATGGACTAGTCATTTAAAACTCTTCTTACTCCCCAAATAGCGCTACGTAAATAGAATACATGTTTATTTTTATTATTTTTTTTAGAGAGAGAGAAAGAGAGAGGTTGGGGGATGGGCAGAGGGAGAGGAGAGAGAGAATCTTAAGCAGATTCCATGTCCAGTGTAAAGCCTGGATCTCAAGGCCCTGAGATCATGACTTGAGCCGAGATCAAGAGTCGGACGCCTAACCGACTGAGTCACTCAGGCGCCCCTACTATATGGTTAAATTAAAGTAACCTCATATTTTGAATAGTTAATACATGCTCATGGTACAAAATTCAAATTTTACCAAAAGGTGAGCAGCAAAGAGCAAATTTTCCTTTCACTTCTCTTCCCCAGCTGCCTACCCAGTTTCCTTCCCAGGAGACAAACTATGCTAACAGTTTCTCATGTATCCTTCATGAGATGTCTTTTCTTTACATACACAAGCAAGAAGTTGTGTATATATTTTTCTCAAATGGTGACACACTTCTACAACTTGCTTTTACACTTACTAATATATTCTATGGAGCTATGTAAAATTACCAATATTCTACCATTTTGACTCTGCTGGAAATCCTTCAATATTAAGCACACAAGGAGCTGGTTCAGTCCTTTTTTAAAAAAATAATAAAGTGTAACATACATAAGACTTCATGAATCCTAAGTGGACACTCCTCTGAGTAACCAGGACCCAGATTGCTAATTCGAATGTTATCAGCATCCAGAAGTGCCCCTCGAAGTCCCTACCTCATTCAGAATTCTGTATTATATAAAAGGACTCGTCCAGTATGTACTCTTACGTGTCTAGCTTTTTCTGTTGGTTGCACAATAGTCCGGTTTCGGAAGTCCCCTCCTTTATTTAACCCTATTGGTGTCCAACTGATGGATGTTAAGGCTGTTTATAAACCTTGGCAATTGGGATCAGTGAACAACCTTGTAAATATAATGTATTTAAAAAAATGTTTTATTGTGGGAAATTTTCAGCGTATGCCAAGTAAATAGAATAGTGTAGTAGACATCAGCTTTGACAACTATTAGTATCCTGACATTTTTGTTGAATGCATTTTTATTTTTATAATTTTACACGATTTTATTTGTATTTAAGTAATCTCTACACCCAACACGGGGCTCCAACTTATGACCCTGAATTTAAGAGTAGCACGTTCTTCTGACTGAGCCAGCCAGGTGCCCCAAATGCATTGTTAGAGTAGGATTTCATTTACTTACTAAAAAGATGGCCTTTGAGAAGGCTAACTATGTAGCCTTTGGAGTCTCATTTGTGTCAGTGACCAGCTGTGCGACCAGGGGGGAGTTACCTAACCTCTCTTAATCCCACACCAATAAAATAGAGATCTGATTCCTATGGCACACAGTTACGGTGAGGAGAAAGGACCGCATCAGGGCCTTTCCAGCTGTAGGTAAGGTTTTGTTGATGGGCCCAAGGGAAGATGCACGTGGGGAAGGAGGGGCTCGGACTACTGCCAATCCCACCATGGTCTTTTCTAGAATAGTGTCTTTGGTAAGACTTCATCTCACGAAAAGGTTGCAGTGCTTAAAAACAGAAAGAAAGGAAGAAAAAGAAATAATTTGGAACACCGCCCCCCCCATACAATGAATGTGAAACACTGAACATAATGCTTTTCGGTTCTTATCCATCATTCTGCTTTCCCCGACTGTCCTTTTTTGTCTTTTCAAATCACCATTTCACTTGTTAAAATCCCTTTCGAGCCAAGGAACACTTTAAAAAAAAATTCTAATTTTTTCTAGCTTTATTGAGATCTATAAAACGACACCGAGTCCGTGTAAGGTGGACGGCGTGGGGATTTGTGACTGGACACCGTTTCATTAAAGGAGGAACGTGGCCCCCCGAGAATCAGGGGACGAGGGCGGGGCGGGGCGGGGCGCGTGGCCTCGGGAAGGTTTGCATTGCACAAGCTTGATGTCTTGAATCAGCCTCAGCCAGATTCCGTCCTCCTCCTCGTCCCCACCCCCTCGTGCTCCCCACCCCTTCTTCGAGAAAACCGTGAGTCTCCCGTCGCTTCCCCCAAGCCTCTGCTTCCCTGGGTCTGGCTCCCCAGTTACATCCTCAGACTCGGGGCCCGGTCGCTGTGTCTGTCCTGAGTTCAAGTCGTCCGTCTTCCGGACGACGACTTCCGCGGCCGTCCCCAGCCTCCCAAGGGCTGGGGTGCCGGATCCTCCTCCCCCGCCTCGGCCTGGCCGCCCGGGTCGGCCCGGGCAGCGCCGTCCTCGCTGGGTGGGAAGTAAAGGGTCAACGGGCCCTCCCCGCCCCCCGCCCCCCTGCACTTGCCCGCCAATCGCCTCCGGTAGAGATGCGGGGAGCGCGAGTGCGGCTGCTCCGGCGGGGCGGCGGGCCGGGGCTCTCCTCCCAGCCGAGCGCTGGGTCCTGGCAGACGCCCCAAGATTGTTGTGAGGAGTCTAGCCAGTTGGTGAGCGCTGTAATCTGAACCAGCTGTGTCCAGACTGAGGCCCCATTTGCATTGTTTAACATACTTAGAAAATGAAGTGTTCATTTTTAAAATTCCTCCTCCAATTGGTTTAATGCTGAATTACTGAAAAGGGCTAAGCAAAACCAGGTGCTTTCTCTGTGGGCTCTCCAGTGGCTCGGAGGACCCAGGCTCTCCCCTTGTCCTCCCCACGACTGGCTCGTCCCCCTGGAATAACATACGGGCGAGCCCCAAGGGCCCAGAGGGAGCCGAAGTTCAGGGCCGGCTCCGAGGTCCTGCGCAGCCAACTTTTTCTTTTTCCCCTTTGTTGCTCCTGCTCACACATCTTGGACATGCCAGGATTAAAAAGGTAGGTTCCCCCCCGCTCAAGACTTTTTTCCTCCAGGGTCTGGAAACCTTACTAAAAACCTGATGGGTGGAAAATGGCTATGGCTGGGATTCAGGCTGTGTCAGGATATTGGAAAAGGCATTAGCTAGTGATGCAATGATATTGTTAATTATAAAAAGCTGCGCCTCTGTAATTTCCATCTTGAAGCCTTCTTTTGGGAGTGGGTATTTTATAATACGGCTTCAGAAGACAGCATCCGAGAGAAGTCTGCAAAAACCTCAGAGCTTGATGCTCAGTCTTTCTTTTCTGAAAGGGCAGCAAATTTGTGTGTCGTTTTAGAGTATATATATACGTATATATATATGTGTATATATATATATATATATATATATACACATATATATTTCTAAAGGTGGGAGACCAATTACTAGTTCACTAGCAATCATTTTGCTGCATTGGCTGTTGGACAAGCGGACGGGCTAGCCGAACATCCCGAAATTGGATTTGCTCTATGTCTGTGTGGGATTCACAAAGGGCATGCGACCCAGAAGTTTCAAGCCAATGAAAAGTGGGGACTACAGACAGAAATACATGTAAGCAAACGTTTTGCTATTCTTTAAGGAAATTGCAATTTCAGTCAAGGAATCCTTAAACTTTGAAGAACTTTATCCAGATTATATCTGCAGTCTTTAGTGAACTTTTAAAAATGTAGCTGCTTTAGACAGATGAACTGTGTGTGTGTCGGGGGGCAAGGGTGGTCCTGTATTGGGGACCGGCACTTCTCTGACAGATAGCCCTGAGACTCAGTTGGCCCCTCTGGCTTTCCTTACACTGTAGGCTGGTGCACAAAATGGGTGGACCCACCTGTTTTTGAAAGTTCCAGGGACCAGTTATGAGCATCCAAGTCTCCCCTAGAATTTCTATAGTTCCTTTATTTTTAGAGTTTTCTGGAGTTCTTCGTGACAAGGTGTAACTGTTCGTGAGACTGTGAGAGAGCAGCAGGGCGTGGGTTCCTTCACTTTCAGAAAACCCTCTCGATCCATCGGCCTGAAACTTACTTGGCCCCCAGGACTCAGCTGTGGTTCTTGCAGGAGGCCGGGCTTCAGGCTGGACCTTTCCGAGGAGACCTGTCCCAGGGCTGCCCTCCAGCCAAAGGGAACTGGGAGTAGGGGAGTCGGGGGAGAAATGGGGTTAGCATGCCTTTTCCACTAGCTCTTGGAGCCCACTGCGTTCAGTCAGGCTGTTCTGTCTCCAACATAAACGAGACAGGGTTTTATAACCAAGCGAAAGGAAACTTCATGTGAAGAAACAGGAAAACATTGAAATTCATAATATACAGCTTGGAAAATAAATGTGTTATTGTTCTTCCATTCCTTCCAGATATAAATCTAGCCGTCGCAAATATCAAAAAGCCCTGGGATTTGGCTCTGCACTTTATAAGGTCAGAGCTGTCTCTGGCGTTCTAGAACCTGGCTCACACAGGCACTCAGATGAAATGAAAATGTGTGGACTCTCAGGGTCTTTACTCTTTTGATCGGGGACTAGATGAAGGAAGTGGGCCTGTGTCTTCTAGCACAGTGTCACGGTTCTGTTCTCCCTGGAGGATGTCAGCTCAATTCCAGGGCCCTCCAACTACCCAGGGTTGCTAATTCAGATGAGCCTTGTGTCCTGGATTGAGTCAGCTTTGTCATCTATCGAACCTTCTTTTTATGAAGGGAGGGATTATAAAGTGGAGGTGTATGTTGATAGTAGCAGGTCTTCAAGATCACCTCCTCTGGGAAGTCTTCTCTGACCTTCCTGTACCTGCCTCCAGCTTGGCTCTCATGGCGCTCACTGGGTATTTCTCTCAGTGCCCTTACCAATGTGTATCGACGTTATCAATTCAGGTGGCTCTCCAGCCAGCTCCCCAGGGCAGCGATTGGGTCATAGTTTTGTTGCTCTTCTGTCTAGGGTCCTTGTTTGCAAGTAGTAGTTGCTCGGATAAATCACTATTGAACTGAACAATAATAGCACTAAATAGCTCTTCATTTACATAGATTTTTTTTAAACCATTGTAATAATTTTTTAAAAGATTTATTTATTTATTTTAAAGATTCTATTTATTTAATTGACAGAGAGACAGCGAAAGAGGGAACACAAGCAGGGGGGAGTGGAAGAGGGAGAAGCAGGCTTCCCGCTGAGCAGGGAGCCGGATGCGGGGCTTGATCCCAGGACCCTGGAATCATGACCTGAGCTGAAGGCAGTCGCTTAACCAACTGAGCCACCCAGGCGCCCTATTTATTTATTTTAGAGAGAGAGCGAGAGAGTGAGCAGGGGGAGGGGCAGAGAGGGAGAGACTCTCAAGCAGACTCCCCACTGAGCATGGAGCCCAACTCGAGGCTCAGTCCCACAATCCTGGGATCATGACCTGAGCCAAAACCAAGAGTCAGACGCTTAACCAACTGTGCCACCCAGGGACCCCTAAACCACTGTAATCATTTTAAAAAATTTTTAATTAAATCTTTATTTTAAGATTTTATTTATTTATCTGAGAGAGAATGAGAGAAAGAGCATGAGCACGGGGGAGGGGCAGAAGCAAAGGGAGAAGCAGATTCCCCGCGGAGCAGGGAGCCCGATTGCGGCACTCGATCCCAGGACCCCGGGATCATGACTTGAGCTGAAGGCAGACGCTCAAGCGACTGAGCCCCCCAGGTGCCCCTAAACCATCATAATCATTTTTAAGTGTAGAGTTCAGCAGCGTTAAGTACATTTCATGTTGTTGTGCAGTCAATCTCTAGAACTCTTCTCATCTCGCAAAACTGAAACTCCCATCTTCGTGAAACACTGACTCCCTATTCCTTCTTCCACTCCGCCCCTATCACCCACCATCCTACTCTTTGTCTCTAGGATTTTAACTGTTCTGCGTCTCTCATATAAATGGACTCATACAGTATTTGTCCTTCTGTGACTGCTTTAATTCACTTAGTATCACGCCCTCCAGGTTCATCCACGAGGTAGCTTATGCCAGAATTTCCTTCCTTTTTAAGGCTGAAATATATTCTGATCCACACTTGGTTTATCCATTCATCTGTTGATGGACCCTTGGGCTGCTTTCACCTTTGGGCTATTGTGAATAGTAATGCTGCTATAAAGATGGGTGTACAAATATCTCTTTACGTCCCTACTTTCACTTCTTCTGGGTGTCTCCCCAGGAGTGGAGTTGCTGGATCATATGGTAAATCCATTTTTAATGTTCTGGGGTGCTGGCACCCGTCTGCCCCCTTGTACCTCCCCACCAGCCCTGCACAAGGGCTCCAATTTCTTCACATCCTTGCTAACACTTGCTGTTTTCTGCTCTTTTGATTATAGCTATCCTGATGGATGTGAGGTGGTATCTATACTGTGTTTTTAAAGCCTATTGGCAACCATGATTTTACTGGATAGAAGCTTGCGGGGGAGGAAGGGTGGAAGTCTCAGGCTCAGAGAGATTCGGTGGCTTGTGAATGGAGAGCCAGCCCGACCCACGGGACTCCTGGACTCCTCCTTCTAAGATTTCCCTCTGCATCCATTCTTCTCCCGGCTGCCCAGGTCCCCTGGCCCCTCTTTGCCATTGGGGCCTATGTGAAGCGTGCTCTGGGATTAGGAGACTTTCCCGAGACACTTCTCTTCCATAGAACTCAAATGCTGCATGTTGGCACTTTCCTTTCATCTTTTGAGGAGGCTGTGGTCTCATTCACTCTGTTACCATTTCAGAATAAAGATATTCGAAACTTTGCGAGAAGTAAAGACAAAGCAGCTGGTCCATACATTGGTCACGCCACAGTGGTGGGTTTTAGATTTTGTCTTTGAAGCAGCAAAACCTTTTATTTAAAAAAAAATGTCATCTAACACATTATCCCAACATATAAAACTAATAGAAGAGACATGATTTTGTTTGGGATGTTTGGGGGTATCTGGAGTCCGCTTTGACCTTGGGAGCACCCCAGCCCCAAATTATATACACAAAGTGGAGTCCCCATTGTAAATACATGGGCAGCCTGAGATCTCTGTCCCCAGCCCTGGATTCTGGAGCTATCTTGGGCATTTATGTCTCGACTTCTTGCTCCCTGCAGGATCCTCACTGTTACCATTCTGGCTCTCTGTCTTCCGAGTCCTGGGAATGCACAGGTAGGATTTTAATTTTGTTTCTTACCTAGAAGCGTGTTAAAAATCAGGGAGAGGGGTCCAGCCATGCATTTTAAAATCCCAGGATTTACAGTTCACCGAAGCTGAGCCCTGCCCTGCGCGCAGATGAAGGCCAGGCTCAGAGAAGTTGACCCTTGCCCTGGGGACAGGGCTGGGACTTGAGTTCTGATTCCCAATCCAAGACTTTGAATCGGATCCACTGCCTCCTTTGTGTCTTTTGGGACTTGATTTATGGTAAATGTTAAAAAGTCAGAGGTGCTCTAGGGCTTCTGGGCGGTAGTGCCCTGCATGCATGTGGCCCCCGTGGGTTTGTGTATCTTCCGCAGACATGCATCCCCGGCCGGAGGAGGCGGGTCCCACCTCTGGGCCGAGCCCCCTGGCAGGAGTGTGCACAGGGGGTGGGAGATTCAGGCTCCGGCAGGGGTCTGGGAGAGGCCTGCAGCGCCCAGACCTTATGAAGCCACGTTCGCGTCAGCCTTTGAGAATGTGGGCACATCCCTCCTGCAAACTCAGAGTGGCTTCTCTGTCTCTGGCTCACAAATGAATGAGGCCTCACCTTGGAGCAGGGTGAAGGGGCCACAGGTGGGTGGGGGAATATTTTTTCCCTTCATAGTAAGAATTTTGAAATGGATTCAGGCTATTAGGGATAGAAAGGATCTTGGGAAGAGTAACAGAGACATAGAGCTTGGAGGGCCCTTGGAGTCCTTTGATATAGCCTCATGGTGACAGATGGTGACATCTGGGCCCAGAGAGGACAGTGTCCCGGTCCTGTGTTTACTGCACATTAGGCACTCCACATACATGAACACATCCAGTCCTTGCAGCTGCCCAGAACTAAGCGCTGTCACCCCCATTTTACAGGTGAGCATAGGAAGCTGTGACTAGTGGCTATAGGGAGGAGTTGAAGCCAGGCAGGCTGGTGGACTAGAACCCCTCCCTGGTGCTTAGTTGGTTAGGCAGGCCTGGACTCCGGTCTCCTAGTGTCCCGAGCTTTATGGCACTGCCTCCTGGCTCATTTGCTCCCTTTCTTTTGCCCCGAGGCCCTAAGACTCCTGAGCCCACTTCCATGAATGCAGGCTGAATCCATCCTCTCCGAAAACCAGCCCACAGTGTGGGGAAGCCAAACCCTGGAAGGCGCAGAGAAGGCCACGGATGGGGTTCCCAAAGTCAAACATTCCTTCTCCGCCTGTTCCTATAAAATGTCCATCTTCAGGCTCTTCCCCAGAGGCCCATGGACTTTTGGCCCCCGTGACATTTTTCTAAGGCCATAAAGTTGTAAACACAGGTTGCACGTGAAGACACAACCTTCGGAGACTGTTGAGACCTGTCCATTTCTGGAAGCGTCTTTATGTAATTGTCTCGGGGAGACTGAAATAGGGGGATTTCCCCGATACTACTTTTCTTACAAAACGGGCTGCATCGCTGTGTAGCTTTTTAGGTTAGAGGGTTGGGTTAGGGGGCTTCACAGGGGGCAGGGCACTCACAGGGGCCCTGAGAAGGGGAGGTCAAAAAGCACCCAGAGCAAGAGAGTGATTGCCCTTGAAAGCAGTCATATCCACTCCCAGAAAGAGATGAACACAGGATGTGCCTCATCATTGTGCGGATCAGATGTGATTATTCCTGCTCTTCGTAAGCAGAGCAGGAAACAGCCCCAAATCTGCAGATATTGGGGGTTTTGAAGCAATGGTGCGGGGGAGTTTAAAGCATAATGCTAAGGGTAAAATGATTATAAGAAAATACTAAAAAGAAGGGGGGCAAATAGGCCTTATAATACAGGTGTTGGTATTATGGATGCTTTTTTTTCTTTACTTTATTTCCCGAACTTTCTGTGATGTCCTTATAATACTTTTATAGTAAAAAAATAAATAAATAAAAGTAAGGAACACGACCTTACCTCTTTGTCCTCTCTCCTTCCCTGCAGCAACAATGTACTAACGGCTTCGATCTGGACCGCTCGTCAGGACAGTGTTTAGGTACGAGGCCACCGAGGATCCTGCACTGGGTGGGGGGCCTTCCGTGCCAGACCGATGGTGGGCCGTTTCTTTCCCAGCTGCTGCTCCATATTATCACATCTGTATCGGCCTGGGTTATGGAAGAAAACAGTGCCACAGAATGTCTGAAGTCGATAATGCCCGTTATCAATTTCCTGCTTTGTGGCCAGCCCCATGAGGGGCCAAAAATGAGCAAGGATTGATCCATGTCCCCAAGGGGCTCTCCGTCTGTATTAGTTTCTGATGGCGCTGTAACAAATTGCCTCATACTTCGTGGTTTAAACAACAAAAATGTACCTCACGGCTCAGCTTAGAAGTTATCTATAGATCATTATCTATAATTGTTTGTAGGCCAGAAGCTCTTTAGGGGTTTCCCAGGCTAACATCAAGGTGCCAGCAATGCTTTGTTTCTTTCTGGAAGCTCTAGGGGAGAATCCTTGCTCATGGGTATTATTGGCAGAATTCACTTTCTTTCTTTTTTTTTTTTTTTAAATTTTTTATTTATTTATTTATAGAACAGAGAGAGACACAGCGAGAGAGGGAACACAAGCAGGGGGAGTGGGAGAGGGAGAAGCAGGCTTCCCGCCGAGCAGGGAGCCCGATGTGGGGCTCGATGTGGGGCTCGATGCGGGGCTCGATCCCAGGACCCCGGGACCATGACCTGAGCCGAAGGCAGACGCCCAACGCCTGAGCCACCCAGGCGCCCCGAATTCGCTTTCTTTTTTAGAAAAATTGAGATATGATTGATGCATAACATTGTGTGAGTTTAAGGTGCACGAACTTACTGATTTGATACACGTACATATCGCAATATGATCTTCACCAGAGCCTTTGCTTAACACCGCCCTCACATCACGTAGTTACATTTCTTTTCCTACGGTGAGAACATTTAAGATCTACTCTCCTAGCAGTTTTCAAGTCTCTAGTACAGTGCTGTTAACTATCCTCACCATGAGGCCCATGAGCTCCCCAGCACTTATTTGACTTATAACTGCAAGTTTGTGCCCTTCACCAGCCTCTCCCAGTCCCCAGCCCTTGTCAACCACCATTTCACTCACGATTTTTATGAGTTTGGCTTTTTTGATTGCACGTATAAGGGAGATCATACAGTATTTGCTTTTCTGTGACTTACGTCCATCCATGGTGTTGGAAATGGCAGGATTTCCTTCTTTCTCTTGGATGAATAATATTCCATTGAGTATGTGTGTACAAACGTGTGTGTGTGTGTGTGTATCCTGATATAAACACGTCTTTATCCATTCATCTGCTGACGGACACTTAGGTGGCTTCCACGTCTTGGCTATTGTGAACGATCCTGCAGTGAACAGAGGAGTGCAGACATCTCTTTGAGATTCTGTTTTCATTTCCTTTGGATAAATACCCAGAACTGGGATTGCTTGATCATAGGGTAGTTCTATTAGTAATTTTTTGACGACCTTCATACCATTTTCTGTAGTGGCGGGACCAATTTATGTTCCCACAGAATCCCGTTTCCTGCGGTGGCAGGACTGAAAGTCCTGAGTCCTTGCTGGCTGTCAGTAGAGGGCCTTTCCTGGTTTCTAGAGGCCTCCTCATTCCTTGCCTCATGGTTCCTTCCAGCCCCCCCCCCCCCACCATCTTCAGAGTCACCACTGTGAGTTAAGTCCCTCATGGGCTCTGGATCTCTTCTTTTTCCATTGTCACATCTCTCTGACCAGCCCTTCTTGCCTCTTCTTCTTCTGCTTTTAAGGACTTAGGTCATTACACTGGGTCCACCCAGATAATCTCCTACACCCCCATCTCAAGGTCACCTGGTTAGCAGCTTTAATTCCTTTCATTCTCCTTCGCCAGGTAACCTGATGCAGTCCCAGGTTCTGAGGATCAGGACTGACCTCTGGGGGCTATTCTCCTAGTACGTCATCTAGTGGAAGAGGTAGACCTAGACGGAGAGTCAATAAAGAAAGTCTTCATTGAGGCCACATTTGAATTGAGCATTGAAGGATGAGTAGGATCCTGAGAAATGGCATTCCTGGTGGAAGGAACCGCAGAAGCAAAGACCAGGGATGGAAAGGACGTTCAGAGTATAGAATAGTTTGTTGTGGATGGAGCACAGCATATATAAAAAGATAATAAGGCAGCCCCACTTGCTCCCACCTCGGGGATGTATTTAGCTTTTTGATTATATTTGATCGAAGCCAGATCATGTATCTTCCCAGAGCTCACATCAGCTAAGAACCAGAGGGGAGAGAGATGGTTCCAAAAAGTGACGAGTGCTAAGGAACAAAACCCTGCCATGGACAGTCTAGGCTGGCACTTAGATTTGAAGTGCTGGGGGACGAGGATGGGCCAGGAGATGAGAGGGTGGCAACCATTGTTTTCTGTCCCACCAGACTTCTGGAGGGTCTCAGGCTTACCGCTAGAGAACGGGGCATCTGAGCCTCAACGTTTCTCTTTCCTGAGCTGGGAGTTGGTGTGCGTGTCTCGGATAAGCTGGCTGGGGTGAGCATGTCTCCCCCAGCCTCCCGTCCCCCGTGGAGTGACCCCAAGACTGGTGAGAGGGCCCAGCGCGTGGGCTCAGGCATTGGGCTGCTCGTGCTGGAGCCAGAGTTCAGGCATCCCCTGCCCCCACTCCTTGCAAGGCCGATTTTCTAGGGAACCTAGCTCCCCCGCTCCAGGCCTAACAAGCAGAACACCAGCCTGGCTGGACACGGGCCTGTTTGCTGGCACCGTGTGAGCTGACTTGCCAGTAAGCCTCCACTTTCTTCACAAGTAACTAGCTCTCAGCCAGGCCTTGTCTTCCTTGATGCAAGGGACTCTCTCTCCCCTGCCCAGCTGTTATTTGGAGTAGAAGTGGGAATAATTATGAGGTCCATCCCAGTGTTCCCGAGTGTCATATGGGTACATGGGAGCACCTGGGATGTTTTTAGATGGTACACTCACAGATGAATGCTCTATTTCCATATTTAAACATACATTTTTACTGGTACTTTCTGTTGACGTTAATTGGCAGTGTTTCCTTGGGTTTCACATGTGGGTGATAATACGGGGTTTGCGGCTACGGCTCACACTGTGATGTGGTCTCTGATGGCTGATCTTTGGGCGACGCTGGTCAATGGGATTCAGTTTAGCCGGCGTTTGAGCGTCCCTTCAGCGATGAGCCAGGGACTGCCCTCCGTGTTTGGGCGCAGATGTTGGTACAGACTGCTTTGGGATCCTTGGCTGAAGTAGGCACCATGCACGGCGTGGCCAGGGAGCCGCTAACCCTCATCCTTTCTGTGGTTTCCAGATATTGACGAATGCCGGACCATCCCGGAGGCCTGCCGAGGAGACATGATGTGTGTTAACCAAAACGGCGGGTATTTATGCATCCCCCGAACAAACCCAGTGTACCGAGGGCCTTACTCGAACCCCTACTCGAACCCCTACTCAGGTCCGTACCCTGCAGCGGCCCCACCGCTCTCAGCTCCAAACTACCCCACGATTTCGAGGCCTCTCATCTGCCGCTTTGGATATCAGATGGATGAAAGCAACCAGTGTGTGGGTGAGTAGCCCAGAGTCTCAGGCTTCTGTGCTCTGGGGAAGTCTTAATCCGGCAATGATGAAGTCCTGACCCGTGAAGCAATGACTTTCTTTCTACAGAGTTCCTTCCCGCTTAGCGGCCTGTTGTCCCCGAGAACCCTCCCACCCAAGAGTAGCTTAGATTGCTGTCACATCATGGTTCTCATCCAGAAAGCCGATTTGTTTTTTTTTGTTTTTGTTTTTTAAAGATTTTATTTATTTGACAGACAGAGACACAGCGAGAGAGGGAACACAAGTAGGGGGGTGGCAGAGGGAGAAGCAGGCTTCCCGTGGAGCAGAGAGCCCGATGCGGGGCTCCATCCCAGGACCCTGGGATCATGACCTGAGCCGAAGGCAGATGCTTAACCGACTGAGCCATTCAGGCGCCCCCAGAGAGTCGATTTGTTTTTTTCTTTATTTTCATCTGTCTGTCTCTCTATCATCTATCTATTTAAAGACTGAGCTTATATTTTTTCCATTCAATAATAAATGCATCTGGTTTAACTTAGTGAATCCCAGAGAGAAGATCTAGAAAGGACCAGCACTTTCTCTTCAACACTCCTCACCCTTGAATGAATGTATATTCTTGAAATAAAAGAAGTCTTGAAGGCCACGGCCAACCATTCTGGAAAGAGAGTGGGTTCCTTGGGTGGGTGCCAATGTTCTTTTGGCTAAAATGAGCCTCACTGATGGGAACTCACAGCAAGAGTAGACCTCTGGGAGGAAGGAGACCCCACGTGGCACGAGGCCCCAAGGGGGTTGGCAAGTGGTTTGACTGGTGCCCTAGTGAGCTTTGGTGTCTGTTGGCCAGTGTGGCCTTGGTGGAGGGTTACCTGGGATCCTTCCTTGGTTGCTTTGATGGTTGGACCAAAACCCTTTGTGACTGTTTCCAGCTTTGGCAGATGGTCTAGAGTGATGAAGGCTCCAGACTTTTTTGATCATGTACCCCATATCCAAGATCTTTTTGAGCCTGGAGCCCCATGATATACATATTTATAAATTACATACATATTCTGTTATAGTAATATGGTTTGAGGAGTGTAACACATACATTCAAAGCTAGAACATTTTAGAAGATGTGATAAAAATAAATGTGCTTTGAAGTTCTGATACTTCCTTCCCATACCTCAAAAGTTCTGGAGACCACTGGTGTACCTAGTGAGATCTTTGTTGGTCCCATTTCAGGGCTCTGAAGTATTGAGCTTTTAGAGAGGCTTGGGTTGCTTGTTTCGTAATGTCTTGTATATGCTCATGCAAATGAGTGTGCATTTCCATCTGGATACATGGAAATAGTATGCAAACAAGTGTCCTTCAGAGCTGCAAGGGGAAATTGGATGCACCTGGACCCAAACTTCTCCATTCTTACTGGTCGCAAGGGACATGGGGTGTGTATGTGTGGGAGAGGGGTGGGGGACGGAGGAAGGAAGAGAGAGAGGGAGAAGGAGGGGTGGGGAGGGAGGGAGGGGAGAGCTGGTTGATGGTCACTCTGAATATAGATGAGTGGGCAGAGGCAAAGAGTGTGGGGCCCAGTCAAGCCACGGACGCGGTTTGGTGGAGAAGGAGGTAGCCTACTTCCTTAAAATGTGCAGCAGGACCGCCGTAACTGGAAGGGACTTTACCAGTTGAACTTCTGCTTCTTCATCTTCTAGGAAAGGGAGCATGGACTCCAACAAGGTAGCGATGACAGAGGTTAGGATGGGAGGCCACTGGACTGATGACCAGTATCTACCTTCCTAACTCGGCCACATGACCTCTCTTGTCTGGTAGAAAAAAAATGATCCCCAAAAGAAAGAAGAAGAGAAGAGAAGGAGAGATTGGGGGATGCCTGGGTGTCTCAGTTGGTTAAGCGTCTGCCTTCGGCTCAAGTCATGATCCCAGGGTCCTGGGATGGAGGCCCACATCGGGCTCCTTGCTCAGTGGGGAACCTGCTTCTCCCTCTCCCTCTGCTCCTCCTCCCCACCCATACTCTCAATCTCTCTCTCAAATAAATAAATAATCTTTAAAAAAAAAAGGGAGAGATTGGGGTGGAGCTCCTCTTCCAGGATGTCCTGTGGGGCTGGATGCGCCGAGTGCAAGACTGGAAGTGAGGAAGAGGGTGTGATAACCCATCGGGGTACTCCGGGATTTCAGAGGGGGCCTCAGGGTGCTCTGCCTGATGTCTGGGGTGATCCCAGAGGCCCCTTTGAGGAACAGCTGGGAGCTGCTGCACGGCTCCCTGAAGTGGCCCCCTCCCTCCCACAGACTCCTTTCCAGGATCCCAGGGCTCTTGAGAAGAAGGATGGGGCTGGAAAACCTATTCACCTCCTGGTCCCCATGACGTCATGCAATTTTACAGCTCCCAACCTGTCACACGGGAGATGCGGAGCCTTCATAATGGCCCTTTTGTAAGAAGAATAGAATCAAGGAACCCTAGCGAGGCCTGGCACCGGGCCCATCCATTTCCAAAAAGTTCAGCATTATGCATTCATAAGTTCTGAGTTATTTCTAACTTCCCTTCCCTGCACCCCACGGTTTCCTGATGTACAGAGGTCCTTCTGGGCATTGTAAGAGGTGGCGTCACAGGGGAGGGGCAAGAGAAGGGACCAGGAAGGGAGTCTGCTTCCCTCCAGAAACAAGGATGCGAGAGGTGCGCTTGAGAACAGGCAAAGGGAAGCTAGGCACAGAGATGGCTGAAGAGGGGGAAGGCACCAGGAGGGGGCATTGTTAACAAAGGAGGAAGAGGTGAGCACAGGGTTCTCACCACCTGGAGGAGGAGAATGCTGGTCTGAGCTTGAGGAAGCGTGGAACCAGCGGTGTGTGATTGGGAAGAACTGGGAAACATTTCTGAAATTTGGGTGTCCTAGGAGGGAGGACAGCTTCTCCAAAGGAGTCTTCTCCTCCTCCCCATCAAGATGAAACTAATAAACAAGAATGATGAGGCAGTGGTAATAAGAGCAAACTGCTTCCCCTTTGCGGGGGGGGGGGGGGGGGGGGGGTTTATTTACATGTGAATTAACACATTTACTCCTCAGACAACCCTGCTGTGGTAGGACTGTCATTATTCCTATTATACTGGTAAGGCCCCCAAGCCATTTGGAGAGGTTAGGAAATCCAGCCGAAGCGAACGAGGATGAGTCAGGATTTGAACCCATTCAGGCTCTGGATGAGGCTTGGCAAGTTTAAGGTTTGTTCAAAGCCTCTGAGAGAGTCTGTGTTGGAGCCCTGATTAAACACGAGGGCCTTCTCTTGCCTTTTTTTTTTTTTTTTTGGTAATTAAAATTTTTGTCCTGTAAAATTCGGAACCTAGACAAAAGCAGAGAACGAAATGAACACTACCTACTTATCACTCAGTTGCTCTAATTATCAGCACAGACCCAGCCTTGCTTGTCAACTTTACTCTCCCCCAGTGGATTAATTAAAGCAAATCTCAGGCATCATATAACTTTATCCTTAAATACTTCAGGATGTATCTCTAAGAGATAAAGGTTCTTTAAAAAAAATAATCCCAACACCGTTACCAAACCTACAGAAATCAACAATAATTCCTATTTATCGTTATATCCAGGTGGTGTTCAAATTTCCCTGATCATGTCATAAAGGTCTTTTTTTTTTTTTTCTTGTTGGTTTGTTAGAATCAGATCCAAATAAGGTCTACAAATTGCATTTTGTTGACAAGTCTCTTAAATGTCTCTTAATCTTTTTTGTTTCTCTTGCCTGTTCTTGTGGACGAGGCGGAGTTGTTTGTCATGTAGAATTCCTTACATTTGGGATTTTGCTGATCACGTTTTTGGGGTGGTATTTAGCATATTCCTTCATGCCTTCTGTTTTTCTGTAAACTGGTAATAGTTAAATCTAGAGACCTGATCCAATTCAAATTAAATTTTTTTTGGCAGACTGCTTCATAGGTAACACCCTTGCTCTTTTGTCCTCTTTCTGCCCTGCTTTCTCCTCATGAACTATAAGACAAGACAAGACATATATTTTCACCGTGGCTTCCTTTTTCTGAGTTTTATACCCAGTTTCAAAGAAGCAGTTTCCTCCCTTGTGTCCAAATTAGACTGTGGCTCATCTCTGCAGACCAGGCAGGGCCAGACTCAGGGCACAGGTCCCCGGTACCCCTGAGTTTCCTTCTCGCCTTCTCTGTTTTGCGTTCTGCTTTGGAGGCAGCTAGACCCTGCTCCTTCTGGAACAAAATTCAGCCTCAGGTTTGAGTCCCCCAACCCCTAGATGTAAATCGGGGTCACCCGGGACACTTACGGAGTGAATAGTGACCCAAGAGTTGCAGCCCATGAGCCAAGAAAGTTTTGTGTCATCAAGAAAACTGGCATCTTGGCTTGTGGGTGCTCAGCCTTACAGCTACCTCGTGAGGGCGGTAGGACTCATGGCTGGTTAGGATGTGTCCTCCAGATCCTGGGCCCTTGGGAGATCGGTGGCCAGCTTCTCTGGCGATGGAAGGCCAGATGGACATGGTTAGTCATCAAGGAGGAAAGGGCTGCTCCAGGGAAGTCTTACCTACCTGGATGCACCCAAGATGCAGATAAAAGGTAAAATCAAGCACATATCAAGGGGTCTGAGCTGGCCAAAAGACTTTGAAGAGGCAGGATGCTGTGGGGTTTACAGTGTGGGTGCTGAAGGCTCAGGAAAAGGGGAGCTGAGCTGAGGGGCTGGAGCACCCATGGTTTGAACCCCCACTCAGGAACCTTCCTACCGTAGCACACTGCTTCGGAGAACAGCACCTTCGGCCAAGATCCCTGAATATGGATGCCAGTTATTTATGTGTGTTTATCCCCTTTGGGGCTCACTTTGTCACCTCTCTGGGTGGACATTCTTAGTTCTGGCTTTGCCAATCAACTTGGCTTAGCGGCACATTTAGGGACTCCACTGGTGACAGATGCTCATGGAATGTTCTGCGGTTGAGCAAGCAGTCTTGTACTAGAGCCCAGGGACTTCAGGGGCTCTTCTGGTCATTTGTGAAATTATGAGCAATGCCATTATTCTCTTTTCTGGCCCGGGGATTTGTCATTTTTTTTTTATTTATTCATTCGAGACACAGAGATACAGAGAGAGAGAGAGAACATGAGCAGGGGGAGAAGCAGAGGGAGGGGGAGAAGCAGGCTCCCCGTGGAGGAGGGAGCCCGATGCG